TCCTCCAGGTCTTTGCTGTTAATCGGGTGAAACTGTTTCATGGTGTTTAAACAGTTTTTCGGTGGACACAGTACATATTCTGGATCTGCTGTTGATGTAATTGCTTGTCTAGTCTTTTGGATTTTTTCTGTGAAGAATTTGGCAAAGTCATTGCAGGCCATGGTCGAAGTTCAGCTGCCACTGACACAGGAGGCTTTGTTAGGACTGGTTCTTATAAGCTCCTGGGTGCTCAGAGTAGAAACAATTCGCCTCATCCATACATGCAAGCGCCTCAGACAACAACCTGGGGTTAGTATGATGCCCTAGTGTACGTGGTGTGCAGACTGTGGCGGTCAGGGATCGAGCAGATGGATAATCAATAAACTGATGTCAAATAATGTGTTTTATCAGCTGTATAAGAGCACCAAACAAACTCCTCCAGTTACCAGAACTAGAATAGAAAGACCTTGGTGCTCGATGGAGGCCATGTCCTGGCCACGTGTTCTTACACTGTTTTATTAAAAACCAGATAACCAGAGAATATTGTCTAATAAATGAGTTCATTAATTATTGGTTAACTAAGCAACTTATTAACTGCTGCCATAAATGTGACTGGGAGTAAAAGGTCAAGGAAGAAACGTCCTGTCATGTTGTCTGGGTCATTTTCACATTCGGGCAGGAACTGAGTGGACCGTGTTGGACTTGAGGCAAAGAGCCACCATCAGTGGGGTAAGCCAGTAAGATTATTCCACAGTGGTGTGGGAGAGCATGTCCTCAGGCAGCGCTTTACCTCTGTTAAACTGCTGAGTGTGGTCCACGTAGCACAGCCTCCTCTGCAGTTTGAGCTTCTGAGTTCTGGTATGAAAGAAAATGTGTATAAATAGACCCGGTGGGTTCTGAAGTGGAGCCACAAGTGTATGAATAGACACAGTGGTGTGTGGATGGGATGGTGGATGAAGTGAAATGGGGCCACTCTGGGAGAATTCGAGAAACATAGCTGCTGACTTAACCCTTTAAAGCCGGTCAGAGCAGCACGCTCCGTTTTGCGTAACTATTTTTAAATCCC